CACATGAACACACACGTACATCCATGTGCATGCGCATGAACACACACGTACATCCATGTGCATACACATGAACACACATGTACACGTGCACACGAGGCCAGAAAGAGTCCAGGCTTTTGGGCTTGAGCAGCTGGATGGTCAGAAGGGAAGCCGGTGGGGCTAGCTGGGGTCAGGAGCTCTGACTGAGATGTGCGCCAGGTCCTGGCTGGAGTGGGCGTTTGGGGTCCCAGGGAGGGAATGTAGAGCAGGGGCCCTGGATGCCTCCCCATGGGGGACGCACTGGCTGCTGTGTCCTCGTCCTCGTGGCAGGGGCAGCGTCTCAGGGCGGGAAGGGCCTCTTGGAGCCCCACCCCCCACGTCCTGCTTGTTGTCACCTGGGGCGCTGAGCCCTGTGAGGGGCTGCCCACTGGCCCTGTGCCCCACGTGGCAGAGATGTGTCCTGCTGAGCCCACCGGCGCTCGCTCCCTCCCCTGCAGCTGCCTGACTGCCCGTGGGCACTGTCACCTTTGGGGCTGGTGTGACCTGGCTGGCGGCCGGCGCTTGTTGGGTTGCACAGGTGTTGGGTTGGCCCCAGGCCAGCCTCGGGCCCCACCTGCTCTGGGCCGCGGGTGGCGTCTGTGTGCGCTTGCAGGCGTCTCTGCTTTTCTCTGCGGCTCCAGTCTGTGTTTCAGGGGAGGGTCCATCCCTGGGCATGGGGTCTGGAACTTGGGGGGGGTGTGGGGGTGGTCTGACAGGGCCCAGAGCCTGTGTGAGAGAGGGCGTGTGCAGCTGGTCTGCTTCTGGGGGATCCTCCCCTGTGTCTCCCCGTCTGTGGTGGGCCTGGGTCTGGGTGTGTGGAGCACACTGTGGGTCTCTGAGGCCCCTCAGTGGGCGAGCACAGTCTCTGCAGAGTGGCTGGTGGGACACGTGCCCTGTCCCCCAGAGTGAGTCCACTGGGGGATGGTGGGAGATGAGGGAATTTGTGTCTCTTGGCTCGCATATAGGGGTGGGGTCTGTCTGGAATTGGCAGCAGGGGGCGCTTAGTGTGGGGTGAAGGTGTGTGAGTGGTCAGAGTGTGTGTGAGGGTGTTTGCATGGGTGTGTGTGGTGCGTGTGTGTGTGAGGGTGTCTGTTGTGTGGCGGATGGGGAGGGGTGTTGAGGCGGAGCCCACAGCAAGGAGGGGTGAGTGGGGGGCGGCTCAGGCAGGGCAGAGGGTGTATGGCGTTGAGGTGGCAGGTGTGCGGCTGGGGGTGCATGGCCATGGGGGAGCCCCGGGAGGGTCACCCAGGGGTCACGTCGAGGCTGGGCAGGGGCTGCGTGGGGGGGTGCCCGCCGCCCCCGCTGAGCCATGTCTCCCCGCAGCCATGCGCACGCTCAGCGAGGACACCATCCGGCTCTTCCTGCAGCAGATCGCGGGTGCCATGCAGCTCCTGCACAGCAAGGGCATCATCCACCGCGACCTGAAGCCCCAGAACATCCTGCTGTCCAACCCCGGCGGGCGCCGCGCCAATCCCAACAACATCCGCGTCAAGATCGGTGAGGCTGCCGCGCTGCCTCGGGGGCGGGACTGTGTGCAGCGGGGACCCCACCGCGGCCCCTGAGCGCGTCTCTCTCCTCACAGCCGACTTCGGGTTCGCACGGTACCTGCAGAGCAACATGATGGCCGCCACCCTCTGCGGCTCTCCCATGTACATGGTGCGTCCGCCTTGGAGGGCCCTCGGGGAGGGAGTCCTCCGACGCCTCTGATTGGCTGCTGCTGGGCTGGCCCGTTGTGATTGGTCAGTGCCTGGGTACTCACCCCGCAGGCCCCTGAAGTCATCATGTCCCAGCATTACGACGGCAAGGCGGACCTGTGGAGCATCGGCACCATCGTTTACCAGTGCCTGACGGGCAAGGCGCCCTTCCAGGTGAGCGTCACGGGGACGGTGCCCCGGGCAGGGAGCCGGGGCCCTGTGCCAAGCGCGGCGGTTCTCAGCCAGCGGGCAGGCGGGGGAGCACACGTGCTGGATCCTGGAGCCCAGGCTGGTGCCATGCCGGGCGGTTCTCAGTGCACAGCCAAGTGAGCACAGCAGCACACAAGTGCCCGGTCCCCAGGTCTGGTGCCCACTCGAGTGAGTGCTGTCTGGAGCCTCTTTCTGTGGCTTGGTAGTGTCAAGAAGGAAACCGCCTCTCAGAAGGCGCCAAACCTACCATTTCCATACGGAGCAGGGCTTCTGCCCCAACCCTGGGGTCTGGCTTCCCGCAGGTGGCCCCGATGGCACCACCACGGTCGGGGGTTGGGGGGGGAGGACAGGAGCCATGGTATCCTGGGGCTTCCTGGGGGAGGAGGCAGGCGTTTGTGGTGGGGTGGGGTGGGGAGGGGCGGGCAAAGAAGCATCCAGACTGAAAGCTGGGAGGGGCAGGAGCGGGCCAGGAGGAAGCTCAGCTGGCACTCATGAGCCTTACTGCTCTCACAGGCCAGTAGTCCCCAGGACCTCCGCCTCTTCTATGAGAAGAACAAGACGCTGATCCCCACGTAAGTGGCCCTTCCCCAGGCAGGCGGGGGGCTGCCTTCTGCGGAGCCTCTGTCAGGCTCAGCACCTGGATGGGCCGCCTGCTAATCCTGCCCTGTTCCTCCCGCCCCCTCAGCATACCCCGGGAGACCTCGGCCCCCCTGAGACAGCTGCTCCTGGCCCTGCTGCAGCGGAACCACAAGGACCGCATGGACTTCGGTGCGCCCCTGCCCCAGGCCCCAGCCTCCTAGCTTCTCCCCAAAGACAGCCGTGTGGGGTGTCTCTGTGTGGCTGCCTCCAAGCTGAGAAGTGGCATTCAGGTGTTCCAGGCTGGAGCCCCTGTCTCAGCCATGCAGGCTGTAACGCCTGGGTTTGCAGCCACGTCCCTCAGATACCTGTGTGGCAGGGGCTGGGATGGGAGGTGGGATTCAGAGAAACTTAAGAGTACCTCTGAGGTCCCCCCTGTCCCCTGAGCCCCCCTGAACTTCTCTTGTCCTGCAGATGAGTTTTTCCATCACCCGTTCCTCGATGCCAGTTCCTCCATTAAGAAGTGTGAGTTCTCGCGGGTCCTGGGGCTCCAACGGAGGGCTTGTGGGTCTCCCTTCCCCATTTGCTGAGTCCCGCTTGGTGCCTCAGGCTGGGATGGGCTGTGTGCCCGCCTTGTGCCGGGGGGGAGGGGGCGGGGAACGGTTGGAGGCCTTGGGCTGCAGCCCTACCCAGGGAGTCAGGGTATTGGCACTGGGCCCTCATCCAGCTTGGGTGACCTTGGTCGCTGTAGACCCCAGGGGCCTTCAAGACCTCAGTGGATGTAGCCGCTGCAAGCTTGGGGAGGGTTGCGGCCTGGGGGTGGCTCCTGAGACAGCCGGGCTGCTGGTTTTCCATGGCAGCTGGGCCCGCAGAAGCGTTAGCCCAGGCCACAGGTCCCCCCCGGCTGAGGGTACAGGGCAGGACGCGCTTGGGGGAAAGGTGATACATCCCAGCTTCCCAGGCCTTGGGTGGCTCTGTCCTGGGCAAGTACCGGCCAGCCGCTGTGGCTGGCACACACTAAGGCTGGCGGGAGCCGCCAGCCCGACAGGAGGACGCTGTCACACTAATGCTCCCCACTAGCCGCCCCGGTGCCTGTGCCTTCGTACCCCAGCTCTGGCTCTGGCAGCAGCTCCAGCGGCAGCTCCACCTCGCACCTGGCCTCGCCACCGGTGAGTTGCCAGCCCCTGAAGTGGGGTCTCCCTGGGCATGGGCAGCTTGTGAGGGTGGCGTGCAGTGAGCGGCCTGGTGGGTCAGGGCCTCCGAAGGTGACTTCGAGGGCTCGTGTGTGCAGCCCCTTTTTGGCCGTCACTGGGGGGGGCACCAGGGAGGGGTTAGTGTCGTCCCTCTTCAGTCCCGGGATGCTGACCGTGCCCGGCTCACTCCCATCCGCCTATCTAGTCCCTCGGGGAGATGCAGCAGCTGCAGAAGACGCTGACCTCTCCGGCCGACGCCGCTACGTTCTTGCAAGGCTCCAGGGACTCCGGCAGCAGCAGCAAGGACTCATCCTGTGACACCGATGACTTTGTCATGGTTCCAGCCCAGTTCCCAGGTGTGGGGCAGGGGGGAGTACAGGGGATCCTGAGCAGCGTGGAGCCCTCAGGGTGGCGGGTGGGGAGGGCCCGCCCTGTGGGTGCCCCTCCTGAGTGTACTCCTGGTCCCACCTCACCATGTCCCAACCCACAGGTGACCTGGGGGCCGAGGCTCCCGGTGCCAAGGCCGCAGCAGACAGTCTGCTGTGCAGTGGGTAAGCCCCAACCCCACCCCGCACCCCAACCCTCTCCACCTCAAGTGGGAGCAACGGTGGGTGGTGCTTAGTCTCCTCTTGCCCCACCCTGGGAGGGAGAAGCGTCTGCCTTCACCCTGCTTGGGAAGGACCAGAGTGCTTGAACTAAGCAGGGCCCCTCCCGGCCATCCCCTCCCCTCCGTCCCCTCCCAGCCATACCCTCCCAGCCATACCCTCTTCTTCATCCCCTCCTGGCCATCCCTCCCCTTCTCTCCTCCCAGCTTCCCCTCCCCTTGTCCCCACCCCTGGCCACCCCCTCCCCTCCATCCCCTCTATCCCCACCTGGCATCCCCTCCCCTCCCCTCTATCCCCTTCTCTCCCCTCCCTCCCACCTTCCTGGTCTTGGCACTTAGCTCTGCTCTGGGAACAGATGGGGAGGGTCCAGGTCTGTGTAACACCTTTGGCCTGAACATACACCTTACCTGTTTCCTCTGTCCCCACCAGGAGCTCACTGGTGGTCTCTGCTGGCCTGGAGAGCCACGGCCGGACCCCATCTCCGTCCCCACCTTACAGCGGCTCCCCCAGCCCCTCAGGGTGAGCAGCCTGTGCTGTGGCAGGCCCTGGGCAGGGGGTGGCAGTGGGTTAGCTGTTCCCGGAGCTGGGTTTGGGCTTCTCTCGGTGTCACATCTGCCTGGGGGGCGGGGGCAACTCCCCTGGGCCCACGAGAGCCCTTGCCCAAGACCTGGTTGTTCTCCTGGCCTGTCCCCTGACCGCAGCCCAAGGCCCCGGGGGATGTGGACTGCCTGGCGCCTGCCCCACGTGACTGTGTCCTCTTCCCCCAGCCGGGCTGGCCCCTCCAGCGGCAGGTGCGGCGTATCCGTCCCCATCCCGGTCCCCACGCAGGTGCACAACTACCAACGCATCGAGCAGAACCTGCAGTTGCCCGCCCAGTATGCGGCGCCCCGGTGAGCATGGCCGGGGCCCTGCTGACGGGGACGGCGTTCCGGTGGCTGTGGAGCACCCGGAGCTCACAGCGCCTGCGTGTTGCGGGAGGTCTCAGCAGATGGGAGTAAAGGTGGGTGGGAAGGGTGCCGTCCCCGTCACTCACGGGCCCTCAGGGCTGCAGCTGTAGGTGGGAACGGTGAGGAGGCTAGCCCCCACGCTTCCCTGGCGAGGGCCGGCGTGAAGGTAGCAGCGCTGAGGCCTGGGCACCTCTCACCGCCCGTTCACCTGCCCGCCCACAGGTCCACCGCCGTCCGCAGGTCGGGCAGCACCAGCCCCCTGGGCTTTTCCCGGGCCAGTCCCTCGCCCCCGTCCCACGCTGAGCATGGAGCTGCCCTGGCCAGGAGGTTCTCCCTGGGTGGGGCCCGGCCCTACACGCCCTCTCCCCAAGGTGAGGCCAGAGCCCTGGATGCACCTCCCTGGGCTGGGATTGCGGGGCAGGGATCGAGAACAGTGTCTCTTCCAGCTCTGACCTGTTGCACTCCTCTGTCTCTTTTTTCAAAGTCGGAACCATCCCCGAGAGGCCGGGTTTGAGCAGGGCGCCCTCCCCTCAAGGAGCTGAGATAAGGAGTGGCAAGTTCCCGTGGCCAGGTGGGTGGGCTTGCTGGGGGGCGGGCTGGGTGGCAGGCGGCCTGGACAGTCTGGCGCCCTGGCCCACTGCAGCTTGTCGAACCAGTGAGGATAAGGCGTGAGGGCTGCTGACGAGATGGTGGGGCTGGACCCCTGGCTGTGTCCCTACTGCACAGTGCTGTGCTTGGGCAGGTGTGGGAGCCCCTCTGGCTGCTTCTTTGGGCCCCCAGGGTGCTGTGGGGCACCGTGGGCATGGAAGGTGATGCGAGCCACCCCCCGCCCCCAGGCTCCTCCGCGCCCGACCACTCGCCCCGTGCCACCGGGCTAGGCTGCCGCCTGCACAGTGCCCCCAACCTCTCGGACCTGCATGTTGTGCGCCCCAAGCTGCCCAAGCCCCCTACGGACCCTCTGGGGACTGCGTTTGGCCCCCTGCAGGCCAGCCCCCCGCTGTCAGCCTGCTGGCCCCTGCGCGGCTCACCCAAGCTCCCCGACTTCCTGCAGCGGAGCCCCCTGCCCCCCATCCTGGGCTCCCCCACCAAGGTAAGGGCCACGGCACACAGGGTGCCTGCTCCATCTGGAGCCAGAGGCACTTGGGGGCGCTTGTGGGGTGGCTGGGGAGTCCATTGTGGAAAGAGAGGCGGCAGGTATGCGCCAAGGCCTCCCTGCTGCACCTGCCTGGGCGCGCACCAGCTACCTGCAGTCATCTGCTCGGCCCAGACCCACAGGGGAGACCTGTATGGGCCACTGCTTCTGGAGGCCCAGAGGCGGGTTGAGGCTCCCCCCAGACCTGCTTTGAACACGTCTAGCACCCCTCTAAGGGCCTGCCAGCGCCTCTTTTCTCTTGGCTGTGGGGCTCCCAGGATGGGGCTGGGGCTGCCGCTACTCCGCTGCTGCTGACTGACCTAGCTGTGTGCCTCACACCTGCGCCCCACGCCTTACTATGCTGTGTGCAGCTGCTCTCCTGGGGCAGAGTTGAGTTGCAACAGCCTGGAACATTTACTGTGTGGTCCTTCACAGAGAGCTTGCCAATTCCTTTCTTCAGGGTAGCTAAGGGTGGCCTTGAAAATCGGGCAAATTATGGACTTCCCTTTTTCTCAGTTTGCCTATCTGTAAAATGGGGCCACAAGTAATAGCTACATGAGAGTATCGTTTGAGGGTTTGTTGTGGTGGTAACTAGAACAGCGGCTAGTACAGAGCAGACAGCTGCGTGTACAGGAGTCTGCAAACGTGGTCTGTGAGGGAGCCGCTGGTGCTCACTTCAGGGGCAGTGCCTTGACATGCCTCTTCTCTTTTACAAACATACACCCGTGTGCTGACGGCCTCACAGACTCCCCTCAGGCTGCTCTCAGGCCGTCCTCCCCGACCTCCGTTGAGTCTTGGGTTTTGTTCCGTCCCGTGAGGACGCTGGCTCTCACACTGCCCCGTCCCCCAGGCTGGCCCCTCGTTCGACTTCCCCAAGACACCCAGCTCGCAGAACCTGCTGGCCCTCCTGGCCCGGCAGGGCGTGATGGTGGCACCTCCCCGGAACCGTACGCTACCCGACCTCACGGACGGGGGGCCCTTCCAGGCACAACCACTGGGCCCCGGGCTGCGGCCCCCCGAGGAGGCCAAGGGTCCCTTTGGCAGGTGAGTGGAGGCATGGAGGCCGGGGGCTGGGCGTGTGAGCACAGGAGGTGACCCCATGCTGAGTCACGGTTCACCTGTCTGTTCAGAGGGGGACAAAGGTGGGGGGTGTGTGGTGAGGGCAGCCTCCCCATGCAGCCCCGTCCCGGGCCCGCCCTGCAGGTCTCTGAGCACTGGCCGCCTCACCGACCTGCTTCTGAAGGCGGCCTTCGGCACCCAGGCTCTGGACTCAGGCAGCACCGAAAGCCTGCAGGAGAAGCCCATGGAGATCGGTGGGTGCACAGGCTGGGCGGGGCTCCTGGGCATGGGCCAAGCGGCCCGCAGCGACCCTCAGCCTACCTCTCACCCTCGCAGCACCTTCCACCGGCTTTGGAGGAAACCTGCACCCCGGGGCCCGCGCTCGGGGCGCCAGCAGCCCTTCCCCTGTGGTGTTCACTGTGGGCTCCCCCCCCAGCGGGACCACGCCGCCGCAGGGCCCCCGCACCCGCATGTTCTCAGGTGAGGCCTCACCAGGTGGTGGGTGGGCAGGAGGGGGCTGAGGGGCTCCCGGGGTCTTGGCTCTCTGACTGCTGTGCTCCTCTCTCTTCCCTGAGTGTTGTGGTGCAGCTGGCTCCTGGGACGTCCAGTGGGCCGAGTGCGGGCGACGAGGTCTGGGGGTCCTGGGTCTGTGCCGCCCTCCCTCCATGGCCCGGCCCGCTGTCCTGGGTGCCCCTGCGGGGGTCTTGGGTCTGTGTCCCCCTCTCTCCGTGGCCCGGCCCGCTGTCCTGGGCGCCCTCACGGGGGTCCTGGGTCTGTTTTTCCCTCCCTCCGCGGCCCAGCCTGCTGTCCTGGGCGCCCCTCACAGCAGCATCTCCCACAGTAGGCTCCTCGGGCTCCCTCAGCTCAGCCGGCTCCTCCTCCGGTCGCCACCTGCTGCCCGGGGCCTGCAGTGAGGCTGCCGCCCCCGAGCCTCCTGACCCGGGACACTGCTGCAGCTATGTCGACCCCATTGCCGCCAACCTGGAGGGGGTTGTGACCTTTGAGGCCCCCGACCTGCCTGAGGAGACCCTCATGGAGGTGCGCACTGGTGGCTGGGGTGGGAGGCAGGGCCAGGCTCCGTCCTCCTGGTGGGAGGTGTACCTGCCTCTTGGCCCCTGGCTGGAGGGACCCTTGTTGTGGGGAGGGACCCTGTCTGACCTGGAGCAAGGTATGGTCCTGAGTCCCCACCCTCCCCAGCAAGAGCACACGGAGACCCTGCATGGCCTGCGCTTCACGCTGGCCTTCGTCCAACATGTGCTGGAGATCGCTGCCCTGAAAGGCAGTGCCGGCGAGGCAGCCGGGGGCCCCGAGTACCAGCTGCAGGAGAGCCTAGTGGCCGACCAGATCAGCCTGCTGAGCCGTGAGTGGAGGTGCGTCACGCTGCGGGTCTGAGGGGAACTGGGGGGGCATGGCAGGGGCCCCAGGGTGCCCCCCTGATGCATTTTGTCCCCCAGCTTTGCAGAGCAGCTGGTGCTGTACCTGAAGGTGGCAGAGCTGCTGTCTGCAGGGCTGCAGGCGGCCATCGATCAGATCCGGGCTGGCAAGCTCTGCCTGTCATCCACTGTGAAGCAGGGTGAGCACCATGTGGCATTGGAGGGTGCCGGGGATGTCCACTGTGGGCTGTGGGGGCCCACGCTGTACAGGTCCGGCCTGGAAAATGGGTGCCGGTGGCTGAGGCAAGGGTCCTGGGCTGGAGGTGGGTTGGGAGGGCAGGTCTGCAGGATGTGGTCCACCTGGGCGCTGCTCTGAGGCCGCTTGTGGGGGCACAGAGGGCGTGCTACCTCTGTCTCCTGTGGAGTGCGCCTGCACCCCTGCAGGCTGGGTGGGTCCCTGCTCACCCAGCTCTGTACTGGTGTGGGCAGGGCTCTGCCAGCGGGCTAGGAGATGTTCGTGGTATCACCATCTCGCCTGCTGGCAGAAAATCTGCCAGAGCTTCAAGCCCTGAGCACGTGGGTCCTGGGCTCCCTGCGGGCCGAGCAGTCCCCTGCCCTCCTGCTCCCCTGGGCCTGGTGGGAGGAGGCATCTGCTGGCTGCCCGGGGCTGCCTCCCTCGTGTCCCTGGAGGACAGCACCGCAGGCCCATGGCCTGGGCCGAGGGAGGCCTGAGCCGTGCACCCTGCCCCCACAGTGGTGCGCAAGCTGAACGAGCTGTACAAGTCGAGCGTGGTGTCCTGCCAGAGCCTGAGCCTGCGGCTGCAGAGGTTCTTCCTGGACAAGCAGCGGCTCATGGACCGCGTCCACAGCATCACCGCTGAGAAGCTCATCTTCAGCCACGCCGTGCAGACGGTGCGGCCTGGGGGCCGGGTGGAAAGCGGCAGCTGGGGTGTTGTGGGGGCTGGGGGATCGGGGCTGGGGGTTTGGGAGTTGGGGGTGTCTGAGTAGGGAGCCAAGGCCAGGGTGAGCCTCCCTCTCCCGCAGGTGCAGTCGGCGGCGCTGGACGAGATGTTCCACCGCCGTGAGGACTGTGTGCAGCGCTACCACAAGGCCCTGCTGCTTATGGAGGGGCTGCAGCAGATCCTTGTGGATCAGGCGGACGTGGAGAACATCGCCAAGTGTGAGCATGCTGGGTAGGGGCCCAGGTTGGTGGGTGGGGCAGCCCCGACCCCGCGTGGGCACCCCTCACACTCTGCTCCTCCGCAGGCAAGCTGTGCATCGAGCGGAGACTCTCGGCCCTGCTAACCGGCCTCTGCGCCTGACCCTGGACCCCACGCTCTGAGGCGCTCGGCGCTGAGTGGCGGACACTGGCCGCACTGGTCTGGATGAGCCTGTGGGCCTTCACTACAGGGGACCCGGGTGGAGAGCTGGAGCTGCGGACTGGATGCACCCGGGGCTGCTGCCCCCACCTGCCACCGAGGGCCGAGCTGCTGCTGGGTCCTGACCGGTGGTGACTGCAGGGTGCCTCACACCCACGGGCAGTCAGTCCACAGACTGGTGGAGCTCACAGCCCAGGATCTCAGAACTCCTCCTGCCACCCACTGCGGGCACGGGCACGTCCCTCCGAGCCAGTGTCCTACCTGCCCCGCAGCTGCAGTGAGATGTAGCCGGTAGAGCCGTGCAAGAACCCAGGGCGTTCCTGCCTGCTGCTGAGCAAGGTCCAGTGAGGCCCTGGATATGGCGCTGCCGACTCGAAGCCAAAGCTGCTGTCCTGGGCACCCGGCGGGCCTCCCTGGCTCCACTCCTTCTCTGGGACCCCCAAGCCCCCACCAGCTTTGTAACCCACGAGCACTTTATGCAGATAGAGGCTGGGGACAAAAAGGACCGCTGCCACGCGGCCTCTGTTCCCGGTGTTGCACTACAGGTGTGTGTACAGACAATATACATACGTACATATATAAATAGCTTGCGTGCGTGCGCGTGTGTGCGTCTGACTGCGCTGTGTCTGGGACTCGCTGGCAGGCTGCCAGCGTGGAACCCCCCCTTTCCAGAGGAAAGATGCAGTGGGGTGGCCATGTTCTTTGAGGACAGACAGTACGAAGCGCCGTGCTCTCGAAGCCCAGGACGGGCGTCGCCACCTCTCACACTTCAGTCTATAGCGTGTTTTGTTTTCCTGCAGCTCCCTTGTTTCTTGTTTTTATGTTTTTAAGTAGAAAATACGTAGGTGTTCAGGACCTTTAGTTTGGGAAGGGTGGGGGCACGACAGGGCAGGGGCTCTGCTTCGTGGCTGTTAGATGTTGGGTGTGTCCGCCTGTCCTCCCCCAACATCTGCCCAGCAGCCCTGCTCTGGCCAACACCCAGGCCCTGACAGCATGTCCTGATGTCCGAGGAGTCTTATTCCTCTGGCCAGGCCTGGCTCGGGTGACGTGTCCAGGTTCCCCTGGCCTAGCCTCCTCGGCTCCACCTGAATCACCTGAATTGTCCTGAGTCATCTGTGGTACCCACAGCCCCGAGTGCAAAGGTCACACCCTGGTGTACAGACAGTATATACATACTTACGTTTCTTCCTTTTCAATACTTGAAGTGTCGCCACTGTGCTCGGGCGTAGAAGGAAAGCCCTGACTTGTTTCTGTTCTCACCTGGTGACTGCTCAGCTGCATGGGGTATGTTTACAGGGAAGAGCCTCTGAGGATGTTGCATTTATTACAGCTGTGTGGTCGTCTGGCGCTTTGGCCACATGGCCTGTGTGTGCTCGTGAGTCCCGTCCTCCACGCGGTGGCACTCCGTCCTGGTCTCTCTTTTGAACACGGTTTTTGTGTGGTTTTTCCCCCTTTCGCTTTAAATTGTGTCATACCCGTTTACAGAAATAAACCTTGGGAATTGTTGGCTTGCTGTCAGCACTTTTGGTCAATGGTGGCTGTCCCCAGCGTCCTCCATGTCTCTACCCTTCCTGTCTGACCCGTTCCCAGTGGGTATTCTGTCCCTCTGAGGTCAGGTTGGGCTGGGCCGCTTCTTTCTTGCAGCACCAAGACCCCTGGGTGGCTCCACACACGTCTGGGGTAGGGTCAGGGGCTCAGGGATGGCTGGTGGGCTCATTTCTGTGTCTCTCCTGCCCCTGCCCTGCCCCAGCAGAGTGGCACACGCTGAGCCGAGGGGGTACAGGGGCCTTAGGGCTGGGCCGCTGCAGGCCAGAACAGCTGGGTCACACTGTACCTGGTTAACTTCCCTGAACCACCAAGACCTCCACGGCTCTACGTTTGCTCCCAATATTAGTTCTGAGGTGTTCAGTTTCTCCACATCCTCGCCAACACTTGTTATTTTGCAATTTATTTTCTTTTTGATGGTAGCCATCCTAGTGGGGGTGAAGTGGCGCCTCGCTGGTTTTGATTGCATCTCCTCCTGGCTAATGACATTGAGCAGTTTTTCACGTGCTTGTTGGCCATTTGCAGATCTTTGGAGAAATGTCTGTTCAGATCCTTTGCCCATTTTTCAGTTGGGTATTGTTGAGTTGTAGGAATTGCATTTTTTAAACTAGGTATTGTTTTTATAAATAGAAAAAAATTCATTTAAATTACCCAAAAAGCGCTGCCCTCAGTATGAAAAGCAGAAGTTCATAGAGAGGTGGCATCTTAGAGGAAGTGGGAAGTGCAGTCCTTGAAAGTTGGCGTCCCAGAGGGTCTGTTCCAGGATTAGTTTCCTGAAACGCATGAAAGTGTGTTTCTCTCCAGACAGGAAGAACGAGAGCCCCGTGGCCGGATGGGAAGATGTGGTGAGAGGTGTGGGTGTGAGGGCCACAGGCTTGGCCCGGTAGGTGCTGCCCAGGACTGCCCACCAGAGGGCGGGGCCAGGGCACTAAAGGCTCTGGCCCGTTCTTTTATGGAGCTCCAGGTATATCAGTAGGCACCCTGGTGGCGCAGTGGTTAAGAGCTCGGCTGCTAACCTAAAGGTCGGCAGTTCGAATCCACCAGCTGCTCCTTGGAAACCCTATGGGGCAGTTCTACCCTGTCCTGTAGGGTTGCTATGAGTCGGAATTGACAGCAACGAGTTTGTTTTTTTGTTGGTATATTAAAGTGAAAACTAGGGGTACGGGGTGCAGGCCCTGAGGCCCACATGGGCTGACTCCAGGACGCGTTTCTTCCGACTCTCTATCCCCTCACTGCCCAGCCATCCCAGGAGCTTCCTTGGTGTTCCTCTCACTGCAGACTTCAGGTGGGCATGTACCCCTGGTCTGGCGGACTCCTGCCCTCTGGGACTGCTGGAGCCTGGCACCCTTCTGCCTCAAGGCCTTTGTACTGGCCCTTCCCTCTGCCAGGAATGCTCTCTCTTGACATCTGTAAAGCTCACTTCCTCACCAGATTCAAGCCTGTGGTGGGCTGAATAATGGTCCCCCAAGATGTCCACATCCTAGTTCCTGGACCTGTGAATAAATGACCCCGCAGGGCAAAAGGGACTTTGCAGATGGGATCTTGAGGTGGGGAGATGATCCTGGATTAGCTGGCTGGGCCCAGTATCATCACAGGGTCCTTACGTGAGGGAGGCCGGAGGCTCAGCAAGGAGACGAGGACACTGCTCTTTCCTGGGCGGGTGAGGGGTGGGACAAGCTAACCTGGCAACAGAACAGGTGCATTGCTGCATTCACAGCCTGAGATGTTATGAGGCTCCAGGCCGCTGCGACGACCTGCCCTGTTCTGGGTCCTCCAGCCTGGGGACCTGTCCCCTTCTGGGTCCAGTCTGGGCTGTCTGCGGAGCGTGCAGCCCTTCCCCGCCCCCCCCCCAACAGTCCTGCCC